AACCGTAAAATATCGTCATTAGACGTTGGTTGAATACCTACGTCACGATTACACCTACCAGGAGCCCGATCGTGACAGCGTGATATATTAAAAGTAAGTAATATCTACCACTTCACTTTCGAATTCCATTTTATATTGCAATAGTCGATTTGGGAATAGTGTTAATTAATTGCATTGCTTTGGTAATACTAATTAGAAACGAAAGATTTACATTAACTTATTCTCACGTTAAATATCAAAATCTGAAATCAATTAAATATTTATATATTCTAGGATACAATCAAAATTCTTCAGCCAATAAATGATGTAACTGAGCTATTATCTGGCTCATCTTATCTGACAATTGGTGATATGTGCATTATAATAATAAGTTTGCTTGCGCATCTTGATATAAATAGCATCAAAAATGTCAATAGTCAAGTTGAAGTAGTGAGTGCAATAAAAGCAAAACTTGAAGTCTACTGGCCTTTAATTCATTAATCATCCATAATCGCAACCCTTCTCAATCCGCGTACCAAATTTTCAGTATTCTCTCAAGATGATTAGCCACATGCAAGATTCACAGAAAATGTATGACAAATACAATCCAGATAATATACAAACAGCACTATCCAGACTAACCTCAACTCGTAGCATATTTCAAGTCCTCATTCAAAGTACATCATCGAATAATCAATATAATACTCACAAAATTGAACAGTATTTCCAACTTCTACTTGAAGCAGATCATATTAATCCTCTTGAATGGTGAAAATTTCATTCTGACAATTATTCAACACTTTCACATCTGGCCCAGGATTATCTTGCAATTCCAGCGTCTAGCGTTCTCTCCAAATCAACTTTCAGTATAGCAAAACACACAATCAATGCAATCTGAAATAGAATTGAAGGCGAAAGAGCTCGTGCTTCACTTTGTCTTAAGAGTTGGATTACAAACGAATTATTTTTTAATACGTGAGTATGAAAGTAGTGATGATGGTTGGAGTTATAATATTACTGGTTCTGATAACGATAAAAATGTATGTAAATATTGTGGTCACCAGGGATCTGATTACTGTAGTGATTATAATGTTTTTTTGTGGTGGTGATGAGAATTTATATAGTCACGAATCTAATTATTATAATAGTTGCAGCTTTTTTGATGGTGTTGATGGTAAGGATATTTATGATTATTATAATACTTATGAATCTAATTATTATAATAGTAGTAATAGTAATAGTGAGCATAATGGAGTA